AGCAGACTCCCTGCTGAGCAGGGAGCCCGATGTGGGACTCGATCCCGGGACTCCAGGATCATGACCTGAGCCGAAGGCAGTTGCTTAACCAACTGCGCCACCCAGGCGCCCTACAATATATTTTTTAAAATAAAGCAGAACAGTAGGAAAAATGGTATATACTCAAGTGGCTATCATCCCAAATTAACAGATATATATATTTCCATATTTGCTTCAGACCATCCTCATTTGGAAAGAAACAGGAGAGAGCAACTTGTGATGTCTTATATTCTTGTCCTAGCCTCGTTCTTCTCCCCTGCTCTCCCACTGTGAACCTGAGGCGTAGCTTGTCAGTGTGTTCTTTGTTTTTTTACTTCTACTGAATGCATATATCATATCTGTAAATAATATATAAATCTTAAATTTGCATAAATCAGGTACTGCACATGACATTCCAAAACTTGCTTTTGTTCATTAGCATTGTGTTTGATCTCATCTCCATGGTGCTGCAGATCTAGTTCATTAATTTTAAATCCTGAAATATAGTTTTCCATTATATGGAAATAACCCAATTTAGTTTTCTATTTCCCTCCTAATGGATTTTTGGTCTGTTTCTCGTTTTTCACTATTATGAACAGTGCCACACTGAGCAGCCCTCTCTGTGTCTTCTCCTGCCCACGTGCAGGGTTTCTCTAGGGCAGTGGTTCTTAAAATGTGGTGCCAGGACCTGCACATCAAGGTCACTTGGGAACTTGTTAGAAATGCAAATTTGTGGGCCTAGCTTAGACCTCTGAATCAGAGATTTTGGGGATGGTGGCCCTCACGTGATTCGGATGCACACTGAAGTTTGAGAAACGCCTACACTAGCGCATATACAGTTAGAGTAGAATTACTAAGTCTTAGGGTGCATGTATAGTCAACGTACTGCATACAGGAAGTTCCTGTCCAAAAATACATCCTAGTTTACGGTCTTACCAGCAGTGTAAGAGAGTCCCCATGTCCCCATACATGGCATGGTTGATTTTTTTTCTTGCTGGACTGAAAGATGTCAAACTTTAGGAGCTATTTTATTTCCTTTTTTGTGAACAATATTTTTACAGGGTAGTTGGCCTTTTTCTTATGAATTTTGTAGAAAACTTACATATCAATTCATAAATTATCCCCTCATCATGCATTGCAAGCTCTTTTTTTTTTCAGTTTTTTTTTTTTTTGGCTTTGTTTACGGTACTTAAAAATTGTAACCAGATTCACCAATGTTTTGAATGGCTTTGTGTTTAGAAAGGCCTTGGAGAGGAGAATGGAACTTGGATTTGATTTGCTGCTGGGACATCCTGTTGAGATGTACAGCAGTTATTTGAAGGTGGTCTGAGGCTTATGAGACAGGTCACAGAGAGATTTGGGAGTCATTTGTATAAAGGCAAAACTTTGACACTGGGGGTGGATAAACTGCAAGAGAATGTAGATTGAGAAAATGATGGAAAATTCAACCACAGGAACGACACCGGAGAAAGAGAATCCAGTAAGAGAGATTGAGGAGTGATCAGAAAACAGAGAGAGCAAGAAGAATCTGGAAAATTGGATAGTGATGGAGCATGTAAGCGAGGAGATCTCCAGTGCTGCAGAGAAGGGACACATCTAAGAAAGTGGTGAATGTTGCCCTTCAAGAGAGCAGCCAGCGCTGAGTTGAAGAATAGAAGACTTCTCCTAAGAAGTCTGCACCGAAGTGTAGGAGGAGATGAGATGGTAGTTAGGTAACCAAGGTCATTTTCTTTTAGAAGTGGAATATTTGTGCCCCTCAGAAAGGGGCCATTGGCAGAGTTGTACGTGGGGTTCACTATGCTCTCTCCTCTTTGGCAGCCTTTTCATGGATGTACTTTATATGCCCTTTGAGGAAATTCATTTGGTAAGATAATATTAGGAATTGGGCAGAGGATGGAAATAGGGTGATAGAATTGTGACTAGGAGGCTGCTTTCGATTAGGTGGTCTTCTCTGACGTTAACATTGAATACTAAGGAGCCATTTGAATGATAAGGTAGAGCATTCCAGGCAGGAGACACAGTTTCCAGTCTGCAAGGTCAAACGGAAATAGGATAGTATACCATTAATCTAATAAAATCCTCATGCTTCTTTGGTCAATCAGGGTGAAGAGAGAACAGAAATCTTTGTCCCCTGACTTTGGAGATCTTGTTTAACCTTCAAACTGGCGATGTCAAGGGTTCCAAGTCCTCCACCTCCGGCAGAAATGTCGAGTGGCCCTGTAGCTGAGAGCTGGTGCTACACACAGGTAAGTTCATGTTTTCACCCTGTAAATCGTGTATCTTGGGAGGATTTTGGTGAATGAAAAGAATAAGATTTCTTCATTAGGTTTCCTGCTTTCTCTAGGACATAACTGTCAAAGAGCAGATAAAGTACTTGGCTTTCCATTCCTTGGTTATCCACATGGCACCTGAATGTACTAGGCTGGTGGTTTTCATTGGAGGTTGAAGGGGGGCGGGGATCTTTGAAACTAGATCCACTTATAGCCACCTTGATGGAAATGTGTTCCTCTTTGGACAACTCACAGGAAAACAGGTTTGAGATTTGCAACCCCAAGCAGTGGCATCAGCATCTCAATTGTCAAATGGTGCTCTGAGCAGAGGCTTGTTTTAGGTACAGCTTTATTATCTGCTTGCCCACCCCTGCCCATGTTTTTCTCACTTTCCACCCAGTGTTTCTCAGAAGTGGAAAAATGTTATGAAAGCAGTTGGTCACTGTGAGATTTCTTAAAATGTGGGTGAGGGACAGAAAAAGCTGAGCCTCCATGCCGCCCAGACAGGGCTATCTTCCTATGGGACTCATGCAGAGAGAGGGAGGAAGGGAAATGATTATTTGATCTGCAGCCTGTTTTTCAGGTTGCCCACTTCCTATTTAATTGCTTCTTGGTTTTCTGTTAACAGATCAAGGTAGTGAAATTCTCCTACATGTGGACCATCAATAACTTTAGCTTTTGCCGGGAGGAAATGGGTGAAGTCATTAAAAGTTCAACCTTTTCATCAGGAGCCAATGATAAACTGAAATGGTGAGGAAGACTATATCTAGCTGTAAAAATTTTTCTAAAAGTTGCCTGTTTTGCTTGGTTTTATGACAGAGCCTGACTAGAACGTAAGATCCTTGAAGGCAGAGACTTCGTTTTGTTCTTCACGTATTCTCCAGTGCCTGGAACAGTGCCTGGCACATGATGGTGTTCATTGTAAAAATATATTTTTAAAGATTTATTTATTTATTTACTTATTTGATTGAGAGAGAAAGAGCACAAGCGGAGGGAGAGGGAGAATCCTCAAGCAGATGCCTCACTGAGCACAGAGCCTGACTCAGGGCTCGATCCCAGGACCCCAAGATAATGACCTGAGCCGAAATCAAGAGTCGGCCACTTAACCGACTGAGCCACCCAGGCACCCTCACTGTATATTTGTTGAATTAATTCAGTGAGTATGTCAGGAATCAGCAAACTAAAATGGCTGTAGGGTAATATAAGTGAGTAAAGAGGGCCAGTGTTGTAAACGATATTCATACATGGTATGAGTGTTGAGTGACCTTCTAAAAGGGGTGGTGGCTGCTCAGCGCCATAGCTGTGTGTGAATAAGGGCTGACCATCGTCATATTTGTTGATTTTTTAAGAAAAGCAAGAAATTTAGATTTTAGCATAAAAATCTCAACTTCTAAATTGTCTGCTTTTCAACAATGCAGGAGATTTATTTGCTTCTGTAACCGGAATGCCCAGGGTGTAGGATGGTTTTGAAGGTAGTGTGATCCAGCAGCCCAGTGGTGAGATTAAGGACCCCATGTCTCTCTGTTCTCTGCACTGTTGGACATCTCAAGTCTAGCTTCCCTTGTGGTTAAAGGATGACTGGCCGTAGCAATGGGTGTAATCCACTACCATCCAACAGAAGTCTTTGAACTTTCTCTGAATTAACTCTGTGGCCAAGAATATGTCCTACATGTACTGACTGGTTTAGGTTTGGGTTCCCTCCATTAATCTCTATAGCAAGGGGAATATGATCTGAGAGTGGGGGTCAGTCCCACCCAAACCACGCATCCCCTTGAAGAGGAGCTGGCAGTTAAGAGTACAACCATATCTTTGCTGCCAAGAACAGAACACATGTGTGTCAGCCACCCAGTTTTGATCTCTGATAACCCGCTGAAGAGTTAAACCACTCTCTTTCCCTTTAGTATTTGTTGGCTGTGTGCACTAAGCAGTGTATTACTAGGTCCTGAGAGAATGCTTTATTCTTAGGCATTTCATTTATTTATTTATTTAAGAGGAGAGCATGAGCGAGCATGTGGTGGGGGGAGGGGGGCAGGGGCAGTGGGAGAGAGAAAATCTTAAGCAGGCTCCATGCCCAGCACAGAGCCCAACGTGGGGCTCTATCTCATGACCCTGAGATCATGACCTGAGTTGAAATCAAGAGTCAGACTCTTAACTGAGTGAGCCACACGAGCGCCCCACTTAGGCATTGTATTCAAATTCACATCTTGAGCACAATGTATATGGCATATGCGCTTCCCAGAGAGGCACTGGATTGGGCCACCTGTTTGAGAGAGGTGCCGTAACACTGACAAGGCCTAAGGATACATATGGCCTGTGTATTATATGTGGTAGAAGTAGTGTGAACCACATGCAGTTCAACTAATGACATTTACAGCTTAACTCAATTGAACCTATTAAATCTGTCTGAAATTTGTTTTGATTCATTGGCAACAGATTGTCATCTCGGACTCCATTTGGAAGCCTAGCTTGGAACTCTGTCCTGTGTAATAGGAGTTTACTTTTTTGTCTATGCTTCCTCCATACTGCCTTCTTTATTTCAATCTTAGGATATTATTGCCAGATTGATAAAATATCTGTAAAAGATTATGTAGTATTCACATATTTCTCTGGAATGTTTTTTCTCTCTCCCAAGGTGATATTAAAGGGCTTAATGACACTTTTTTTAGGGGTGGAGGGGCAGAGGGAGAGGGAGGATCTTAAGCATTCTCCACACCCAGCGCAGAGCCTGATGCAAGGCTTGATCTCACAACCCTGAGATCATGACCTGAACTGAAATCAAGAGTCGGGCACTTAGCTGACTGAGCCACCCATGTGCCCTCAACATTTTGTTTTTATGGTTTCATTATAATCCTGACAAAAGAGGGTGCTGCCTTTCTGAGATTGAGGATTAGAACAGATTGGAAATAGGCTTAACTTTAAAATATTTTACGGGGAGAAAGAGTGATTTAGGAGATAATGAGGAAAGAGGCAGAGATGTAAGCATCTCCTGCTTTGGGGCCTGGATTGGTTTTAACATCTTCCTCTCTTGGGAAATAGGTGTTCTGTTTCTCCTGTCACTTCACAAAGCCTATAAACGTGAATGCTTCCAACATATTTTTTTTTTCCCTATCTGTTTTGGGCAGGTGTTTGCGAGTAAACCCAAAAGGACTAGATGAAGAAAGCAAAGATTACCTGTCACTTTACCTGTTACTGGTCAGCTGTCCAAAGAGTGAAGTTCGGGCAAAATTCAAATTCTCCATCCTGAATGCCAAGGGAGAAGAAACCAAAGCTATGGGTAAATGTTCCCGTCTTCATTCCACTCTTAATTTTCACACCAAGCAACTTCATACGCAGACAGGTTATGGATTTGATCTGGGTTGTTTTGTTTTTTTTGTTTTTTTTTTAGTAAATCTAAATATGATTTTTTTTTTCCATTCCAGAGAGTCAACGGGCATATAGGTTTGTGCAAGGCAAAGACTGGGGATTCAAAAAATTCATCCGTAGAGATTTTCTCTTGGATGAGGCTAACGGGCTTCTCCCTGATGACAAGCTTACCCTCTTCTGTGAGGTGAGTCCTTTACCCCAAGGTGAGACTGGCAATTCCCAGACCTGATGGGTATTGGTAGACTTAATTACATTGTGTCAGGGATGGGGAGTGAGAAAAATCCCTGAGTGGAGTGGTACTGCACAAATGTGATTTCTATGATTGAAACTATGTCACGATTTCAGGCTTGTTGGACATTTCACCTTTCTGCTTATTATTGTTCTTAAAAATAAAGATTGTGCACTATCTTGGTATGAGTGATTTTTTACTTGCTTGGGTCAGGATTCGGGCTTTTTCACTGGGGGTGTTCTCAGGTAGCATGTGGACAGACTAGCACTGCAAGCTGAGGAGAATGGCCAGCAACTCGCTATGTGGATCTGTCCTTTAAACTTTCTGACTTCTGAAGTATGAGGTCCACTTGTGTTTGACTGCAGATCATTTTCCTTTTCTACTTTACTAGATGACTCTTACCAGGAGTTGAGTATATCCAGTTTGTCTTGCTGGAGTAGTTGTGAAACAATGGAGAGAACCATTTTTTCTAGAGTGAGGGGTGGGTAAAGCTTTCTAACTTGTGGTTAGCTAGGAGGGTTATCTGTCGTCAGCCAGGAGAGTATTTCTCTCACCAGTGACCTAAGCCTGTCTGGGGTTACAGGAGAAGCCTTGAAGTATTCCCAAGAGTGAGTTGGAAAGTGGCTTATTTAATGGGTATATATATACTAATCAGTCACTTCATGCCATTATCATTTACAAATACTCACAAGCTCACAGCGTAATAAATGAATAAAACCTCCAGTCCGATGGGAAATTTGTGCTCCCGCTTCCTGAGCAGCACCACTTGAGAGTGACCACTGTGTTTTCATGGGGAGGGTACGAGCAAGCTCCCCAACTATTGGTGTGTTCTGCCAAATAATGGGCTCATGCTGTGAGTTAATGACAGTTCCAAAGGCTTACTGCCACCTGGGCAGCAGAGCAGGGTGTCCCTTAGGGATCTTGCCCTTTCACGGAAGAGGCCTAGCCAGCAGTAGCCGGCTTCTCTCCCTAGTCACAGCTCATCGAGTATTTCTGCAGAATAGTTGCTGGGGGTTAGACAAGTCTGGATGCACAGTTTATTAAAGTACTACACCGAATACACAGAATAGTTACATAATAGCTACCTCCTTTTCTTTTTTGCTGTGAAGTAAAAGAAGGAAATACTAGAGTGATGGCATCTCTATAAATACATTAAATGTTGCAGTTGTTTTTGTCTGTGAACTTGAGTTTGGAATTCCATATAACTCCTACTAGTTACAGATCATACTCAGTTGCCCAAGTGAAGAAATGAGAACAATTAGTTGGTTTCGTGTGAGGTTCGATGAAAACTTAAGACCATCCATTTAATCTTCACCTACCTTAGAGACCTGTATTTCAGAAAGATTTAAAAATAGTGGAAAATTCTAATTTCTGCTGGAAATGAAAACCAGTCTTTGAACTGTTCTCAAGGAAGAGAAATCTCCTCTAAATACTGCCTCTGGTGTTTTAGGCAAAGTGTTCACCTTTATTGCCGCATTTTCCGGTCCACAGTGGGCCCAGCTTTTTCTCCCATGATCCCCCTTCCACCCCCTTCCACCCCCTCCCCCTAGCCCATTCCAGCCGCTCCAGCCCCTGTACTGACATTCTTGATTTGGGAACTGATTGGCCTGCCCTCACTTGGCAGTCTCTCATCCTGTGGCTAAGTCCAAGGCTCTGCTTCCCCATATGAAATTCTCTGAGGAGAAATCCTGTGGTTAAGTTTAGATTTGTCTTACTGACTTAGAAGGGAAGTGAGATGACACTTTGGAAGTGAGGAGATGTTGAACAGGGAAGCGTCTGCTGAGTTCTGCTGATGCCGTCGGTTTCTTCCCATCGAACCAGGTGTGCCATCTGTTCCTGTCACACTTCTCTGTTGGCCACAGGTGCTGAGTGTTGCTTCTCATACTTGGGCTTGTGCCCAGTGAGACTCGTTTCTGTTCCAAGGCTCTCTGTGGACTTAGTAGCATTCAGCATTGCAAGACGGTTGCGTGGGGGTGTGTGTTGGATGTGTGGGTTTTCGAAATGTCTGCCGCTCATCTAAGTTCTTAGCGCTTTTCAAAGCTATAGATCATTCTGTGTTGCACCTTCTGTCCTTCTGACCTGTTGCTCCCTTCTGTCAGTGGACTATTTATAAACAAGTATTTTACTTCATATTTGTATTTCCTATATTACTGGTTTAGCTAGTGGGGTTTTTTTTTATTATTATTATTCGGAGGCTTTTATGAAGTTGATGTCCACCTACAAATTTACGTTATGAGTCCTCCACTGCTCCGTTCCACACTCAGCCTTTGGCCTGGGCACTTCCATCTTATCTGCCAGTGGATTATTTATAAACAAGTTTATTGTATCTTGATAAAAAAGAACAGTGGTTCTGTGGATTCTTTTGGCTGTTCCTAGAGGCCACAGGAAGGAATCCTAAGGTGAAAGACTGAGAATCACATGTTTGTGTTTGGGCCTTATTTCAGTGGTATTACTGTTAATGAACACTTAAATGAAATTAGATTGCCTATTCTCCAAATGCTGAATGGCTGGTCTTGTTTATAATGTGCCACACTGGGTTCACCTCCAATTCTCAGTGATGTTTTTGTCTGCTAGGAAATGTGCCGATTCTTCCAAGTCAGTGTGGCGTAGTTAACATATTTGGAAGCATTTTCAAAGCATTCCCTGAATTGTCTCTTATCACAATCCTTTGAGCTGGATTAGTTCTGTTATCTTCATTTCATGTTCCTGGGGAGAGAAGCAGCGCCTAGGGAGGTCATGTAATTTTTCCTAACGTTGCCCAGCAAATCAGTGTCAGGCCATGTCAGCTCTGCATTTTCCACCTCTAGTCTGCTGCGCAGCACTAAGTGGAGCTGAATGCCATTCACCAAGGAAACTTGTGCTCTACCACATTTTCTTAACAGGGAGTATTTATTTTGGTAATGAAAGAATCAGGAAAGCTTTACACTTTAAATTTTTCTTTAATAGTTCAGTTCACAGAAAAGCTGCATGAAATGTTTCAGCTTCTGTTGACCCTTCCCTATTTGTTTATATTGAAAACAAATAGCTACTAACAATAAAGGTGCAGATATTCCCCCTTTACTGTACATACCTTTGACAGGTAGAAGACTCCAGTGTCCATTTGGGATGTTGCAGTTAAAGTTGAAATATGAAATACCGTATGAAGTATGAAATAGCAAATATGAACCATGCAGACACTAGTTGACTCTTAAAATATCCCTTTTCTTCTCAAACATAGAATATCCTTTCATAGCCTGGGAATATGTATGTTTACCAAATTTTAAATACGTGGGTCTCTCCTTTTTTTCTTTTTTTAAAGTCATTTTATTAGTGGATAATTTGGATATATTAGTTGAACTATTTGATAACGCCAACATTTGATGGGTCTTGACCTACGAAAATGGTGATTTTAATATGTAACGTTATTTAGGTTATAAACATACTGTAGTAAACCTAGCACCCAACCCAACGGCATCACCAATAAGTTAGAACTAACCTGTATATGCTTCTTCGCTGTCCCTTAGACCTTTGTCCCCCCACTCAGAGGATGATAATAAATAGCTGTTGGAAATTGTATGTTATCGTTCCCTCGTTTAGTATTTCTGTGCCCGAACAATGTACTGGTTTAGGTATGCTTGTTTTTGCACTTTATAAAAACGGTGTCAGAATGTATGTAGGTCGTGTAGGTCACGTTGCTTTTTTTACATTATACATCTAAAATGTATTTATTTATATGGTGGGTGTAACTATAGTGCTTTCATTTTTAGTGCTATGTGATAATGTGTTATGTGAATATACAACAGTTTGTTTGCTCATCTCTTGTTGGTGGACATTTAGGTTATGGCCAGTCTTTTGATTAGAAGTACGGCCGCTGTTATAACCCATCTATATGCAGAGTCTATTTTTTCCTTGATTGTTTTATATAGAAGCTAAAAAATATATTTCCATTGGTCTTTGACTTTTTATGTTTGGATAAAATGTACAAGAATTGGCACAATCTTTAGTCTTTTATGAAATTTTCTTTTTTAAGAAAAGGAATTGACTTTAAAAGTGAGGCCCGTTTATGACTTGAAATGTAGAGGGTTCTACAGCCTTCCTGAGACATTTTCATGTAGTCATTTATAAGACGACATAAATGTCACAGTCACGTCATCTTCACAGCTGCAATTCTGAATGGGTCTCCATAGTCAACTTTATAGGCATTAAAAAAAATCTTTAGTTTTTCTCAAAATGGTCTCATTTTAGCATGATCATTTGCAGAGGAAAACAATCCCTTCCTAAGTTAAAAGTTTGGGCTCTGAAGACTCATTTGTGAATGCCATTTAAAATTTATTTTTAATTAAGCGTATTTAATGTTGGTGAGAGGTGCCAGACTTACAGCACTCTGGAGACTCCAGGCATCCATATATCTACAGAACAAGTCTGGCTCAGACGGTAAAGGTACATTCTCCTTCCTGCTGTGTCCCTGTCTGTGTCTGGAGAGAGGAATTGCCCCAGTGAGACGAATCACAGTCTTTGGGCCCCACTCATTACCAAGCGTGCATCTAACCAGCAGAGGGGCCACTGGTAACCATAGTTTGACATTCAGCTTAGTTCTTGCCAGTTCATTCTACCCCATCTAGTAAATTACCACCAGTGTTAATGACTCTGGGCTTCTATCAGCCTGGTTTAATTTAAGCTTAGAAACCCAGTGCCAAAAGCATTCTCCATTCCCTCCATTGGCCATCCCAAGAGATTCCCGCTTTTCCCTGTGAGGAAGTTGGATTTAATTGGTCTTTTCCTTGTCCTTTTTTTTTTTTTTTTTTTTAATCAGTATTTTGAGGCTATAACTAGAGACAGGAAACTTCTACTTTTGGTGTTAGTATGAGAAAGTGACTGAATCAAATTAGGGATCTTACAAAGGACAAGAGAAAATCTCTGTGGGGTAGTTTGTGCTGGGTCCTGAGTTATTAAAATAAGGTTATAATCTGGCTCTGATAAATGTGCTACTAATGTTAAGTCCATTCATAATTGGTTAACTTGGCTGCTTCATCGCTCGAGATCATAATGGTTAGTTTGAAACAAACGAATACATTTCTTGACCTGATAGTAAATGTCTCACTCCTTCACAAAAGAGACTACGGATCATTTGGATGCCAGGGCATTCATTTTGCCTCTGGGTTTATGACTGCATTTAAGAGATGACTTGCATCTTGAAGGTTGAGAGAAATTTGGGTCATTTAGGATCTTCCTAAGCTGTCTTTCTCATCTAACTTGTAGCAATATTAGCAAGAGTGAGGAGCGGATTCTCAAGGTTTGTGAATTCTGCTTTGATATTACCATTTCTAAGCTCATATGATGGACGAGGTGAAGCATAGCAGTGCTTGTTAGGCAGAAGACTGATCTGCTGGGTCTTACCTTCAGTTTGGTAGCTTCCATTTATTTTAGAATGCTAACTGATTTATAAATCCTTGTACTTGGCATCCTAACAAATTTATCTGAGTTTCACTGACCTATCTAGAAGTTACCTTGGTTTTTATCTAGGCTGAACAGTTAATTCAACTAGTTAAAGCATGCTGCCGTTGAAGTCATGGGGGCGATTTGGATCCCTCTGTAAATCTGTTGTCATTCTGTTCCAGAGCTAAAAGTGCACACCTGGCTGGAGCCAGCCCTCTTATAGGTCACTGTCACAAAGGACCGAGGAAGGGTGTCAGTGGTGTGGGATACCCACCCGGTTATCACTGCTGGGGAAGATCTTCCAAGCCCGGTTCTGTTCATTAGACTAACATCTGTGAGGAAGTGCTAATTATTTACCAGGCCCAAGAGAAGCTGCATTTTATTTTTATTTTTATCTTTTCATTTTTTTTAATTTATTTTTTTTTTAAGATTTTTAAAAATTTATTTGTTTGACAGAGACACAGCGAGAGAGGGAACACAAGCAAGGCGAGTGGGAGAGGGAGCCTGATGCGGGGCTTGATCCCAGGACCCTGGGATCATGACCTGAGCCGAAGGCAGACGCTTAATGACTGAGCCACCCAGGTGCCCTGAGAAGCTGCAATTTATTTTCATGTTCTAGACCTAACTAAAATAAGTGAAGTGCTTTTAGGCTTATCAGAGATTTTTTTCTTTTAGAGAGTTTTAAATGGTAGTTTCCATAGGAATTCTTTGTTTTAAAGATTTTATTTATTTATTTGAGAGAGAGTGAGAGAGAGATCACGAGCAGGGGAGAAGGGTAGAGGGAGAAGCCGACTCTCCACTGAGCAGGGATCCTGATGCGGGACTCGATCCCAGGACCCTGGGATCATGACCTGAGCCAAAGGCAGCTGCTTAACTGACTGAGCCACCCAAGGTGCCCCTCCATAAGAATTTTTTGTATTTAACCTTTTGCTTAAGGCAGAATAAGGTAAATACTTGAGGTTTAATGTGTGTTTAGGTCAGTATCCTTTTCTCTCCGCACCCCCCCCCCGCCCCCGCCGCCGCCATGGTTTTGCCCAGGTTTTCAAGGCAGGGAAGGCAGAATTTATTAGCATTTGGAGGAGAAGGAGATTTGTGGGGCTTTTGCCTCTCATCCTAGGATGGTGTAGAATAAGTATGATTGTGGCAGATTGGAAATTACTTGATCCACAGGATAAAGCCTTGTTTTGTGGAGGTGGTTTCAAGAGAACATGACTAACGTCTGTATCTGAATGTACTATAGCATCGAGGTAAAAGTCATCTCTTCTGCTGGGAAGAAAACTCTTGGTAACAAAACCTTTGGACTGTGTTTCCTTGTCTTTCACAGGTGAGCGTGGTGCAAGATTCCGTCAACATTTCCGGCCAGAACACCATGAATATGGTGAAGGTCCCTGAGTGCCGGCTGGCCGATGAGCTGGGAGGACTGTGGGAGAACTCCCGGTTCACGGACTGTTGTCTGTGCGTTGCTGGCCAGGAGTTCCAGGCTCACAAAGCTATCTTGGCAGGTTGGTCTTTATTCACAGGAAGCTTTAGTTTTGGTGAAAAAGGAAAAACAGTGACTACATAATCACCTTTTGAGTAACATCAGCTCTTTGAACCAGTGCACAAAAAACTGCAACTGAATTTATTTCTTTTTATGGTGGGGACATTCGTTGTCATAACCAAAAATCCTACTCTCCATAAAATAGTGGTGTTTCTGTTTTTCCTCTGTCTAGGGGACTTAGGCCACCATTGTCAAGCAGTAGATGATGATATGTGTTGAATGCCTTTGCACCTAGAGGGTAGATGTCAAAACACTGGTTAAGAGCAGGTATTAGCCGCTAGATAGGGACTTAGGATGTAATGGAGAAGATTCTGGACTTGGGACTAAACCACCATCTAGCTAAGTCCCCCAGTCCTGGAATGTTAGCCCTTACTTCAGTACAGACATACTAGAAGAATGAGAATTTGCTAGTGATGTGGAGGATTGGGTCTTGCTCTAATAATAGGCCGTTGTCCTTAAGACCAGAACGACTGACAAAGAACAGGAGCTGATAAGGCAGGACTGACTACTTCCCATGAAGGTGTAGCAGTCAGCCATAAAATTCTGTTCAGACCGTAAGATATGAGAGGAAATTGCGTGAACTTTCAGGCAACAAATTTCTTACCAAGACTCCGCTCTGTCATTCTAAAATACACACCTGGCAAAACCTCAGTCTGGCTCAGTCTAAGCGTCTTCCTGTTCCTGCTCTCGACTAGGTGTTACTGTCTATTGCCAAAGGAAGTCATCTACTCTTAGGTTAGTGTCTCCACGCTCAGCTAGGCTCTTGGCACTGCCAAGAACTCTTCTACAGATACCTAGTTAGCTCCCTTTCTTTTTCCTTAACAATAGATACTTCAGACTGTTTACCAATCTCCTTCAATCTCCCGACTCCTAAAAGAGTTGCTTGCTACTTCTGAGAGAAAATTGAGGCCCTTCTCCCTCAGCTCTTGCCTGTCGCCTTACGTGAATTTTCCCTGCATTCTCCATGGAGGAGGTGTTCTTCCTCGTGTCCAGAGCAGGCTGTCTCTTCGGCGTCTGTTTGATATCGCCTGCCGCCTTCTCAGAAGCCTTGCTCCACCAGTTACACCCTTGTTGTCTGGTATCTCCACCATCTCTCTTTCTCCCATTGCCTGTTTACCCTCAGCCTGGAAACTGGCTCAGCCGTCTCTCTCTACTTATTCATTCATTCATATTCATTTTCTCTGTCTCTCTCTCTCCCTCTCACTCTCCCTTTCTCTTTAAATAGAGCTAAGTTTCTTGAGTTAGCACATTTACTGTCTCTACTTCTTTCCTCCCACTTATCCTCAATTCACCTCCATGCTACGAAAGCAGTTTTCAAAAGTTCTGTGACCTGCTAATTCCTAAATTTGAGGGATTCCTTAGTTCATATATTATTTGACTTCTTTCTTCTGGTTTTCTCCAGTTGCTCTGGCTACTTCTGTGTGGCCTCCCTCTTCTTCACACGTCCCTGTCAACACAGGTGTCCCTAAGGGTCTGCCTCAGTTCTCTTTTCCTCTACTTATTTCCCCCAGGTGATATTATTTATTCTCATAACAGCACTTTGTATCTAGCCACTGAAGACCCTCTAAGCACACCGGTGCTTTGGACCCTTCCCTTTTTTTAAAAGCCACCAGCCCTTTTAGTCTTCAGCTTCTGTGATGTACTTATTTTAGTACCTTGTAACTGATAAGCCTTCTGAGATAAGAGCAGTGAGAATTAATGTCCCTTTGGAATAGATTAAAATATTGAGTCTCAGAGGGTTAAGTAATTTGCCCAAGATAATGTGGTTAGAAAATGACAGATCCAAAATTAATCCTTTCTGAAATAAACTATAGGCCAAAGTTCAGGTTACCTGTTAGCTCAGAGTCCTACTATAATATTCCATCTGGTGCTCCTCTCTCAGGTGGAAATTTGGTAGTCTCCGCCTTCATCAAAACCTCTGATTTATTGGACAACATGATAAAATTTGAGGTTTTTAGGCCTTTTATTACTTTCATGGTTGAAATTAAGTTGATTTACTTTTCTGTGTTCATTAGACCCCAAGGGGCATGGCTTAGAACACCATTTCTTAATCTTTTTTCATTATCTCCACTCCCCCAAGGAAAAAAATCAAATGATTCCTAATGGGAGATGTTAAATACTAAGGATTAAGATTTTGTCAGGAAAGGTTGAGCTTTGAAGGACCACAAATGGTTGTCATACCTTAGATTTTTTTTTGTTTGGTTTTTTTTTGGCCTCTTTGGGGTGTTATCTCTATTGTGAGTGCATGGCTTGAAAGAACAGACCACCTGCTATAAACAAGCATGCACTTCATCTAGTTAATGGATGCCATCGAGCCCTGTTCTTGGCCTCCTTGCCGTGTGGTCCCTAGAAGTGGAGAAAGTTGTTGTCGTTGTTCTAGGCAAAAATCTGGATGTTAGGACACCCTGCTTATTATTAGAGCATGAAGGATCTTCCATTTGAACCCCCAGATCTACCCAGAGGAGATCATTGTCATCCAACATAGGTCATTTGAATAATTTTGTTCAAATATGAATGGTTGGAATGGAGCTAATGAGAAATTATTTTGAAAGTACTGATCTCTTTTTTCCCCTCTGTCGTATTAGTCACTTCTTAGTGTAATATAAGAAGAGAGGAATTTTATTATTCCTATATAATTTGAGGCTAAGACCCTTTCCTGTAGCAATGGGACAGGAAAGAAAGTGATCTCCTCTTCATAAAAGAAGAACCAAGAGGTTTCAGTGTGATAACCTTATCTATCTCTGTTTCCCTTTCACTTTATAGCTCGTTCTCCAGTTTTTAGTGCCATGTTTGAACATGAAATGGAGGAGAGCAAAAAGGTATGTGACAGAATGAAGATACGTCTTTTTAGCTAGGTGACTGGATCCAGATGATTTCCCAGTTTGACACCAGATTTATTTTTCCAGTCATGTTATTAAAATGGTACATTCTCTGAACAGACGCTTTCTGAGAGCAGGGAGAGGCGGTCCGGAAGCGTTCTAGGTAAAGCAGACTCTATCCCAGGTAGATCATCCAGTTTTGGGTGAGGGTCTTAGACATGTGTTTCTACTCAGCCAAAGAAACACCAAAAAAATCAAAGATACAGTTGTCTTGCTCTCGTATTTGAGAAGATAAACGTGGTGCATATGATGGGAGAGAAGGCTATTCTAATGAAATAGGGCAAAGAGAGAGTTTCCATCCATGTTAGGTTTTAGACGATACAAGCCTTTCTCTCACCAGAGCTTAAAATCATGAAAACTGTTTAGGGATTTTGTTCTGTTGGAATGTTTCTCATTTTCAGTTTTTCTGGCATAGAATCGGGTTGAAATCAATGATGTGGAGCCTGAAGTTTTTAAGGAAATGATGTGCTTCATTTACACGGGGAAGGCTCCGAACCTCGACAAAATGGCTGATGATTTGTTGGCAGCTGCTGACAAGGTGAGATAAGACTAGAAAAAGAATCACAAGAGGGAGGAGCGTTTGTGACCTCTTGAGTTTCATGACTGGGCCTCTGTCTTACATAGTAGGTAAGATGGGCATGTATCTTAGTGTGGCCAGGACAATCCTGGATTACAGTTATTGATAGCATCCTTTTTATTTTCCAAAGTGTCCTGCTTTGAATGAAGTAATTTACATGGTCCCCCTAATTATAGGAAAGAAGGTTAAGTTTGATGTTTACCTCCCTTCTCTTCCCTATCTCACATGTAAGCACAGTGATACTAAAGATGCAGATAATACTAACATTTGGCTTTTAATTTACGAAGTGTTTTTGAGTTCATTAACTTTTTCTTTCTAAATAGTGACGGATTTTATTTACTTTTTTTTAAAGTTTTTCCTTTAATCCTGTTAGTTAACATAGTGTTGTCAGTTCCATGTGTACAATATAGTGATTGAAAAATCCCATACATCCTGCGGTTCATCATGGGACAGGAGCACTCCTTAATCTCCATCACCTGTTTCACCCTTCCCCCCACCCACCTCCCCTTGAGTTCATGAACTTATATTTAAACTTGTCAGTAAGAGAATAATCTTTTACCTAGTGTTGTTTTTAGCATTTTCAACTTTTACTTAAGTAGCTATTGAAATATACTGCATTCAGAATTACAAGATGATCAGCAACTCTTTGGGAAAAAAGAAATACTACTGCAGTAAATGTGTACGTTGATCATAAGACCCATTTCGACTTGAGAAATGTTAAAGTGTGAAAATTAAAGTATGGATCTTAGAATCAAGGAAATAGAGTAAGGACCAAAAACAGTAGGCCAGTGATTCCCAAAAGAAGTTTGGGGGAAAATGTTAATGAAACACTGAGTTTAAACAAGTCAAATTGGGGTTCTTGTGTGTTGCTGTCTTAACTGCAAGATTTCTCAGAATCTTTTTAGTATGTTAATGTACAGTGTGAGTTTTCTAAAAGAATATGATAGACCGCATTTCTCTAACTTAGTCAACCCTGAAATCCTTTTCCTCAAGAATCACCGCTGGGGATTAGTGTCCCCCAAAACACACCTCGGGAAACTTTCATTATGTAGATATGCCAGAAAGAGCTCAGTAACCTGTCCTCCAAGGCCCTGTGGTCTGAGGAAGCACAAGCTGGGGTGTGGGTAGCTCTTTTTCCTGCGGAAGTTTTTCTTAAAAGGGTTTACACCTGGCCAGCAGTAGGCCCCGTGAGAACGACCATTCCCTGCTGGAAGGTGTTGCTCCTCTTCCTGCCATGATGCTGCGGCACCCATCTGGAGGCAGAGCTGGCTCAGACCTGGGGACGCTAGAGCCTCCCCAAGATTTCCCTATAGGAAGAGTCTCCTTCCACCTTCCTTTGCACCTTGAGAACAGAGGAAGTGCATGTTTTGACAGTGGAGCTTTATCTTTATTGATCAGCTTTTTGGAGTGTTTGTAGAGGATGAGGCACGTAAATCAAACCTCATTGATTAGGTTTGAAAGGATTGAATAGCAGCTGTGTCCTTTCAAGATTTTATGAATCCAGTTAGGCAATGCGAACATTCCCTACCCTCCCAGTCTGGCTCCGTTCTGACCACAGGGATCTTGCTTTCCATGGTGGCAGTAAGAAAATATATGCTGTGAGCTCTGGAGAAGTAGAAGACGCAGCTTTTTATAAACATGCATTTATAATGATCCTTAATCCTGCCTCACCTGCCTTCTGATTTTCAGTGAAGTTTATACATGCCAGGTATTTATCTCCCTCATCTTCTAGCTCCCATAAGGATGAGTAGTATCAAAAAGCCCACTTTTCAGACAGAAATACTGAGGCTCAGCGGTATATATTCTCAGAGCCAGGGTTTGATGTCTGTGTCATTCCTGGGTTTTAATTCCTGCTCCTCAGCCAGAGAACCTACTGGGGAACCCCCCTATAAGTACACAGAGCATGGGGATCAGCCTGAATTGGCATTCTGTGAATGGTATTTTCAGTATAGTGTGTTAACTTACAGTTTTAAAAGATAAAGTAGTCGAATCACAGCAGTGCTTTAAATTTATGAATGAGAAGTAAGTGAAGGGTACATTTTCAAATTCCATTCAGAATTTTCTATCAGACAGTCTTTGCTCCAAGCTTATTTGAAAACATTTTTACCTTTACACCTTGTTGTGAGCTTCAGGAAAACAGAATAAGAAATCGTGCATGGAAGGATCTAAACATCTAGAATTTACCCAAGAGGCTGAAACAGCTTCTTCTGAGCTTTTCCAGTCTCCTGGGGACACGTGTAATTAGACCAAAAACAAAACAAAACACGTCGGCCAGGCCTGGGAGACACAATTTCAATCTCCTGGGTAAGTACAGCCATTAGGCAGGTTTTTCAGAAGCATAATTAAGAAAAAAACTTTGTCCCCCGAGGGACAAGAATGGCTACTTTTGTCTAATTATGCAGTAGGGATCAGAACTGTTCACGGTAGAAGTCCTTTTAAAAGAACGTATCGAGAAGGGATAAGAGGAGTGTTCTGCGCAGCACTGTGTAAAGACTGGACATTTCCTCAACCTTTTCCAGCCTTTTAAAACAAAAACAGCAACCTAATTTCTTGCTTGTCTAGTGTCATTCCTGTTTTCCAGGGAAACTGTTTTCCAGTTACTCAAATGTAAAAAATTAAAGCTGCACCAAAACCAATAAAACTCTTTTTTTGCTGCAGGAGATCATAGTGCCAACAGATATGCCTCCTCACCCAGAATTCATAAAAATGAAATTGTCTTGGTTTGATTGCCGTGATTCAGCCTGAAGGAGTTATTTTTTGTCATTGAGTTCTGAGGTCCTCAAGATGGGACCGATACGGATTAAAGCAGACCGTTCTCCTCTGAACTGATTAATGACGTTTTATTTTGTGCTGCCTTTTATCCCTTCCTCCTCCTCACTCCTGAAGTTCCTTAGTAAGTTCATAATCTCATATTTGAGAGCACGTAGTACAGTGGCATCAAAACAAATCAACTACATCAGATGTGCCCAGTGTTAACCTAGACCTTCATTTCCAGAACATTTGTACCCTTTACTTGGAAAATAGGAAGTTTTTAGACCAAAACCGGATCCAGGGTCTCTGCTGCTTTGTTCCTACTCTGAGAATCTTAACCTCAACCCCAGTAAAGAGGACTCCATTTAGCCCTTTCTCTTTAAAGGGAGGCTTTTGTTTGACCCTCATTCAGGACCAGCTAGTGGCAGAGATGCTGGTGAAAGTCACCACGGGGCTCCTTTTCTTGCAGCCCAATGGACCAGTTGGGATGCCTGCCGGGTTGGTGACATTGCTTAAGTAGAAAGGACTGTGCTTCACCCTAGCTTGGCTCTGACTGAAAGGATAGCAGAAATGTGAAAAGTAATGTCCCGTTGGCTTGAAGCAGGGTCATGCCTCATCGTAAGGGAGGGTAGGTGGTGGTGGTCCAAGAAACACTTGAGTCCCTCTTGGGCCAGGTGACCTGGAGGGTGTGGGTGTATTCCCTAATGGCCATTTTTCTAGTAGGTGGACTTTAGAACTTGAATGGCAGCCACGCACGTTATTTTCACGGCCTTCTTTTCAGCCTCGGGGCGTGCTTGTGCTTTATCATTGCAGTAGTTCAGTAGACTTGTCACGCTCTGTGCAGTTTTGCTCGGGAGTCCAGTTCCACGCGGTCCCGCTGAGGAGCAGAGCTTGGGCGGTGGCAGCCCGGAGGCGCTCCCGCCCTGACCACAGCAGTGCTTGTGTCTTACAGTATGCCCTGGAGCGCTTGAAGGTCATGTGTGAGGACGCCCTCTGCAGTAACCTCTCCGTGGAGAACGCCGCAGAGATCCTCATCCTAGCTGACCTCCACAGCGCCGATCAGTTGAAGACTCAGGCGGTGGATTTCATCAACTAGTGAGTCGGCATCTTCAAAGCTGTTGTTTCAGGAGAGTTGGGCTAGCTAGAGAAAGGAGAGAGACTTTGAATTAGCAAGTAAAGCAGGCAAATGGCTTTGTTAGCCCCTTGTAGTAGTAAGTGGAAGGTTTTCATCTTTCTCTTCAGCTTGACAGGATGGAAGATGGTTTTCTTCTCTCTTGTGAGGCTAATCCGATTGGTGGGCAAGGTGCTTTCCTTCCTCGTGGTGACGGGAAACAATGAAATGATAAGCGGCTGGCCTGGAAAGGTGGTGCGCCCCGAATGGTAGCACCTTTGCTTCCCACTCTTGGGCTTAGACGTGTAGATCTTTGGGAGAACAGAGGTGTGTTTTGTATGAGTTAGTAAAACGTATCGAAGAGCTGATTGTGGAATGGGGAAAAGAGAAGGGATGGCCAGTAGTCGAGGTGGTTAAATACTGTTTCGAAAAGGAAATGTTCATTCCTGTAGGTCTGTCCCTTCGTCCTAAATGACAGATGACCTACTACTTTCTGCAATAATTCTCAGTGGGTCATGTTCTACTCCCTTGCCTGTTGGAGAACAAAAGTTGAGAAAAACCCAAAGGGGAGAAGCAGGCCTTAAAAAGCCTTCACAGCAGCAGTTCTGGGCTGAAGCAGGTCTAAAAGGTTGCTGAGTAGATGGGTGAACATTACTCAACACAGAAAATGCCCCCAAACAGGAATCAACTTCCTCAATGTAAGGTTGTTTGTAAGGTTGTTTCGAAGGAGTTTACCAATTGCGGCAAAGGCAGGTGGGAAGAGACCCCTAAATGTTTTCTTCTAGTGACTGCTCACTCCGTGCTGGACACTTGCTTGGTGCTCTTTAGATGTTAACCATTCAGCGGAGTGTGGTTATGATCCCCTCCTTTTTGATCGAATAGGCCCCAGGCTATGATCTGCTCTGTGGTCAGGGACCAGAATAATGGCAAAGCCAGATGGAAGCCCAGAGCTGCCCGACCAAGAGAGCCCTGGCTCTCTCTCTACTGGCATCACCAGTGAGTATAAAGAGCACTGACAGTGTAAAGAAGGGCCTGAGGAACATTGCACCTTTTGTATTTGAGAGTATAGGGGCTCAAAGTCCAGGTTTTCAGAGCTGCAGCAGCCCCAGCCTGGTTGCCTGTCTGCACGGTGTCTGACAGGCTCAGTGTCTATTTAGGGTTCTGCCCGAGTGTTTCTCCCGGTGACACCCTTCCCAGCGAACTCTGGGAGGTCAGACTGCCCCGGGGGCTGTTGACCCCATTCCTCTCACGCGCCTTTGGTAATCCCTCTCTCTCTGCATTTCTCCTAGTCATGCTTCGGATGTCTTGGAGACCTCCGGGTGGAAGTCAATGGTGGTGTCACATCCCCACTTGGTGGCTGAGGCCTACCGCTCTCTGGCTTCAGCACAGTGCCCTTTTCTGGGACCCCCACGCAAGCGCCTGAAGCAGTCCTAAGATCCTGCCTGTCGTAAGACTCCGTTTGTTTTCCTGAAGCCGCGGCCACCGTCGCTGCCACTGACCACCAGGTAGACAGCGCGATCTGTGGAGCTTTTACTCTCTTGTGGGGGCAGGAGACTGCATCGTGGCCCCCAGACTTTCAAAACAGCACTAAATAAACTTGGGGGAAATGGGGGGAGGGAAGGGCCCGGGACCTGGGGCTGCTCAACCTAATGAAAACCCTGTTGCTGCGTCACTGTGTTCCCTTTGGCCTGGCCGAGTTGGATACTGTGGGGATTCAGTTTAGGCGCCGGCCCTGAGGACATCCCAGACATCCCGGCGGTGGTACTTCGGAGAAACCTATCTGCATCTGACTGAGCAGAACAAATCGTCAGGTGCCTGGAGCAAAAAGGAAAAAGGAAAAAAAAAAAAAGGACATTTAGTTTTAAGAGAAGGGAAAAGAAAAGGAAAGAAGAAAGGATTTTTGCAGAATTTCTCAAAAATCAGTTTGTGGATTCCAGTAGTATTTATGTTGAGAGAAATTTTAGTCCATCCAGCTGTGCTAAAACTTGGATATTTGTGACAACTCCTCACCACCATACAAGTATCAGAAGAGCTCTCTTGTTGTTAGCACTTATTGTTTGCAAGAACAGAATACATCCTTTTATCCTTTTATGAAAAATGACAAGTGAAGGCGAGAGGGGAAGGAGGTTATTTGAGCTGGAAGATGCGTGTTCTGATGTGGTGGCTTTTGCAAAAAATCTTTATTGGTGTTGAAAACTGGAAAAAAAAATTCATCCAGAATTCATACTGTCTTGACAAGAACTGTGGTTCTCTGTTTTTAGATATTGTGGAAAATGTTTTTTGGCATTTTTCTCTGATTTTATTTCTCCTCCCTCCCCCCCTTTTCTAAAAAAATAAAACGCAAAACAAAAACAACAAAAAGAAGAGAAGAGAAAAGGAAGTTTTGTTATTAATGCTGTGTGACAAAAATCCCAGCCCAGATTGCTCAGCTGTTTGTACCTGACTTGCCACCTGCATAGGAGCCAGTCCTGTTCCTTCCAATTCACCCCTTTCCTACAGGGGAGAACTTCCAAATATTAATTTTTTTCTTTTTGAAAATATAAATAATTACTATTTTGTACTGTGTGGTATCTCTGGTCTTTTGTTTCACTCACCTGGCTGGTTTTTTGGGTCTGAGTTCCTCAAGGGATTGCAAAGGCCTAGTTTGATCCTTCAGCTTGCAGAGATTATCTGAGAAATGGCTATCTGTGGGGATTTATTGCGTCTCCCTCATCCTAGGCTGCCTCTGTGAGCTCCCAGCATCTACTAGGGTCTTGTCCTCCTTGAGTATCTTGCAGGCCACATTCTAATGAGGGATCGATCAGGCTCCTGCCTCTCCCAAGGCAAGTAATGGGAGTGGGCTTTTCTACACCCTACATGTGCTGAGACCTAACACCTAACTCCCAATCTCCCTTCTCCTGGCTAACTATAAAAAGATCAAGGGGACATGAATGTGGAGATTAAATAAAGGGAAATCATTATCTCTGACTGGTTCTGTCACTGACTTGATGTGTTTCCAGAAAAGTTAATGTCTGAATTCCCAGTGGGCTTACAAGGACACTCCGGGGCTCCTCCGCCTTTGTCACAGCAGTGTTGGACAGGACAGGACAGTGGGACACACTGGAAAATGCAGTGGCTATGTGGTCAAGGTGTGTACCATTTGACCTTAGATGGAGACTCAACGTATTCCACCTTCCATTTCCCTTCAGTGACTTTGGCCTTTGCAGATTTTCCAGTTTTCATTCATCTTGCCGGTCCTGGACTGGACCAGCCGTGGTCTATCATCATACAACCACACACAGGATGTGCCTATTAGAAAGCACTCCACGGTACTTCTCAGCTTCCTCCCGCGGGTCACGTCCGTGAGGAAGTATCCTGTGCTGCCTCGTCCCCATTCTCCAGGTCAGCACACTGGTCCAGGGCTCCAGCACGCAGAGTCTCCTCTGCCCATGTGGCCTCTCGGGCCACTGCATTCACTCGTTCGCTCAGCTCTTCTCGGTTTTCACTGAACCTTCACATACAGTATTTCATTTAAACTTCCCAACAACCAGGTGACAGCACCTTCCCATTCTATAGCGAAGAGAAGTGGAAACCCAGAGAAGTCAAGTGCCATGCGTCAGATCCCACAACTGTCGAGTGACAGTTCTTCTGATACAATCCCCTGAAAAGATTATGCAAGGAACAGGAGGAAGTTCCATTTCTGAAAAGTTTTGGTACCAGATCGGAGGTAAAGCTTCCTTCCTATGGGAATAGCAAGAGCGAAGCTCTCTAGAGAGATCTGTCTGCTGTCCTGTTCTGAGGGGCCAGGAGGACCAGCCTGGCTTCAAATTTGCTTTCTTCCTCATTCATAGAGAGCTGTGGGTTGGGGGCCGGTGGGTTCAGGGAGCATGTCCTCGGGAGGGTAGCAGTCCTAGTGCCAAGCTTCGTTAGGAGGAAGGTCTCTTTGGGGATTTTCCAATATTTTTGGAATCTCCAATGTGGGCTTTACTGTGGGTACAAAGCTGTTAAGATTTCAGGTACAGGTGAAACTGCTCGATGCTTCTCCTATCATTATTACATTATTTCTGGACGTGTTTGTTTTGGTTTAAGTGATACAGTTGAAGCCATCTGGTTATGACAACATCAGAGCCCCAGCATACTGTTCATAAACCTCCCACCGCCACCACCCCCTCCCTCAGCTCCCCCACATCTGAAATTTAATTCAAGTTAACTCCACAATCTGGGGCATGTGCTGTCACTGCAGAGATGTCCGTGCCAGTGGAACAGTTGGAGATTTCAGTTCCATCCACAAGGATATAGCTTATTTATCTAAACAATATTTCAGGCAAGTAGTTTCACAGAACCTTTGGAGTTGCAGTTTGAGGTCCAAATAGAGTATCTGGCATCATTTCCCACTCCCCCACCTCCGGGTTGTCAGCGCCCCTATATCTGGCCATCCGTGGAAAATTTTCCCATTCCCTGTGTGGAGATGAAACCTCTCTGTGTTGCTATTAGGCATCTCAAACACCTTAATGGGATTTAACAATTCAGGTAAGAGAGGCCTCTCTCTTCCTTATCACTGGCTAGTCTGCTGGGCTTGCGGGTCTTTAGAAGAGAGTCTTGTGGGTTTTTTTGTTTTTTTTTGTTGTTGTTGTTTTAGTTCTAGCCGAGGACGTCAAGAATCCTTTCTTAGGCCAAAAGATCTCTGGCTTCCCCATTCTGCGCATCCATTTTTAAATCTGGTTTAAACCTATTGTGGGTTCTCCGTATTGTGTGAGCCTGTGCAGATGAAAGGAAACAGCTTGTATGTTTATGAGCAGAACAGCAAACAGGGGGAGTTGAGCTTCACTTTAAAACTGACTGTTGCTTTGTTCTGGCTGCTCAGCTCCTAGAGAACAGCAGCTAAATCCCCCAACATAACTGTATTGGATCCTTCGGTTTATCTTCGTCAAAGACAAACTCTTGGCTGGAGCCCAACCTTATTTTCCACAACCAATTATCTTTTTAATCAGCCCGGGCCTTGTGTGTTTCCTTTATCTCATGACTTTTCACTGAACCCTGCCCTACATCATTTAGATTCATTTCTAATGGCTTGCTGACTAATCTAACATTCAGGTGAGGATCATTGGACTGCTCTTTATGTACGTGTATGCACAGGGTGGATGTGTTTTCCCCCTTTTAATTTCAGAGGTGACCGCACCACGTTGGGGCCTTTGACCCAATAGGTGGACACCTCACGGAGGCAGTGAGCAAGAAAGCAAATGTAGGACAATCAGTATCTGGGATAATGAGCTGGGAGAACCAGAAGCTATGACCTCGAGATGAGAGCAGAAACTTGAATGTTGTTGACTGATGGGATCTTTATGCCGCTAAGCCATTAGCAAGATGATCGCTCCCCCTTTGTAAATCCCATAATGGTGGAGTGGAAAGTGGCATCTGGAATACTGTTTGGTTCTGATTCCTGCAGCTCTAGGGAAAAAAAGAATTTTAGACTTGAGGGAATGCAACACAAGCAATAGAAATGATTAAGGAGTTGAAGGGAATCAACTCTAGGGGGAAAACATTATGAAGATAAGATACGTGTAACTCAAGTACAGGAATGTAGCATCAGGACCCGCGGTTTACAGAGCTCGCAGGAGTTCTGAACACTTGCCAGCTTGTCTTGCACAGTTCCCATTCATCCCAGTCGTATAGCTTGGGAAGGTGATAACGTAACTTGCTCAAGGTCACTCAACCTGGCTCTGAGCTAAGAAGCAACAGACGGCAAAGGAGTAGCTTTGGGGCTTAGGCCCAAGGCCCAAAGAGAAAATGAAAATCCAAGAGTTTGCCTGGCAGTGAAGTGGACACACGCCTGCTCATAAGTCTCAGTTGAAATGGGGAGAGTTGTAACTTTCTCAAGACCCTTAAAGGTGAGCTCTTGACAAGCCAAAGGGAAAGAAGCCCCCCGCAAACACTCACACGGTTCACCTTCTTTTGATGTCTGAGCAAACCAGACATCCAGCCAAGTGAGACGACATGTTCAAGGTCACAGGGATTAAACTAAGGCCAGCGATTCAGCAAACAATGGCCGAGCACCCTGAAGGTACCAAACATTGTGCTGGGCTAGGATTGGGGTGGAGGGTAGGATTTCTGCTCTACCAATTCAGTCTAATGGGGGAGGCAGGGGAGTGGCCCTCAGAAACAAAGCAGAGAGGTCATAACATTGGAAACTGAAGAGAACAGAATTTTTGCAGTAAGGAGGTCAGTGGTTACCTGAGAGCAGTTTCTGTCAAATGGTGGAGGCAGGAGGCAGAAGCCAAGACTGACGAGAAGGTAAGCAAATACAGAATGAGTAGAAGCTACGCTTTCCAGAAGTTTGGCAGGGAGAGAGAAAAGGAATCTCTCCCGCCCACTCTTAAGGACTTATGCCTCAATTTAGTCAACACGTTTATTTTTGTCTAGAAGTCATCATGTACAGGTTCTTCCATAAAATTACACTTCAGTAACTGTTCTTTATAATAAAATGTATGTAGAATAATTACAGCTTTAAGTTGAAGAAGAAAACAATCACCTTCAGCCCTTAACACAATTTTGAGAATGATTCCCTAAATTTAGACAGACATGTTTCTGTACTTCTTCAGCCTCTCCATCTTCCAAGTAAAAGTTTGCTTCACATTTACCAGAGACCTTTAAAATGTTTTAAGGAGCCAGTGGTTTGGCTCAGCAGTGAGCTACCAAAAGGTATAACATTTAGTACCCCAAAATGTACGCCGTGATTGGTAGCTTTGCCAATTTCCATGGTGTCAATACTCCCACCAGGGCCCAGTTCAGACTTCAAAGGTGACATCACAGGAGCGCGGAATTGGAAAGCACGCGGCTCACTGCTGCCTAGTGTTT